CCCTCCCCTCCATGAACAAACTCATTCCCATCTCCTTTACCGCCTCCTGCTGCTCCCCCAGTCCCTTGAGACTCTTCCCAAACCCCCACAAATAACTGAAATGCAGAGTTAACACTTTCCTGAGGTTTATTTCAAGCTAAACTCTTCTATTTGAAGCCCACCTCCCCTTTGGTGAGAGGTCTCAAATTGAGTTTGCTGAAATTTGTGTAGGATGTGATTGCATTCTCTGCTGGCGTTGGGCATTCCCTGAATATCCACTCCCAATCAAAGAGATGGATTTTAGATTGCTTTTGACTCAACTTTTAATTTATTGTAAGCAATCAGCACTGAATTGTCCTGCAAACAGCTTCCATCTGTGCTTTCACAGGAGACCAGGCACAGGCAGAATTGGCTTCAGCTTGTGTTGAATAAAGAATCGACACGTTGTAATGCTGAAACAAAGAAAAATAATCAAATGTTTTGAAAGGTTCATAGTTTTTTTCCAAGACTGAAATAAACTTCAGAGTCATGTCTTTGCCTTTCTCCCAAACTACTGTTTGCCTATGAATTAGTGGCCAAAATAGCTGAAAATACCCACAAATTAGGGTTCTGTCCTTGAAGAAAATGCTGATTGTCCAGAAAAATATATATAATTTAAAAATTAAAATCTGACCGAGGCGTTTTTCACCTGGAAAATTTGACTGGAACAGAGTTAAGGCAGTAATTGAGCTGACACAAAGAGATGTTTTTTAAAGGGACACTGTTTAGCAAAGGTTTAATATCAAGTTCTCTGTTCAGTGGTGCAGAAAACAAACATTGCACAAGGAGCCCTAACGTGATAGGAAGTTACAGTTTCATTCAGGTTTTATTTCTCTTCCCATGATCCAGGAAATAACCACATGCTGTGATCTGAGAGAGAACAATGAGGAAAAAAGACTAAAGATTAAATAAATACTCAGTGAATAGCAAAGAACAGAACTGGGGCTTGTAAAATGGGAAATGTAGCCTAGAATGTGCAACCTTTAAATGAAAGTGCTCACAATAACCTGGAGGATGGACTTAATTCAACTTTGTCTTTTACACATTTAAACTCCTTAAAAATCTGTCATGACTTGACTTACAAGTTCCAGATAAAAACTCCATTAATTCTCTCTAGAAATCAAATTGGTAATGGCCACAGAAAACACATTTTTCTCTTTTTAGGGCTTTGACACAAATGGTCACAGGGCACTGGGGTTAACTGAGGGTTCCAGGCAGGAGCTGCCTTCCCAGTATGAGCTCCCCACATTGGAGCTCATTTCTCCCAAAAAAGGGACATCACCTCCTGGTTTTTTGGGAAAATGCTCCCAGACAACAAGCACGGAGCTGCTGATGGGCAGGAATTTGTTGTCCTGTATTGTAGATGCAGGTGAACACAATGGGAAGAAATGCTGATGTCTGACTCAGTTCAGAAGGCTGAATGATTTCTTTATTATAACTATGCTAAAATACATTAATATACTATATAAAAGGAGGATACTAAAACTACATACTATTTTTTCTGACTCTTATCTCTAACACAACTCGTGCCCCTCTCTGAGAGCCCAGCCCCAGGCTGGTTGGATTGGCCATCAGCTCAAACAATCCTCACCAGAATCCAACCAAGCATCACCCCAGGTAAACAATTCTCCAAACACGTTCCACATAGGAAAAACAAGGAGCAGGAATAGAAATTGTTTTCTCTTTCATTTCTATCGTGCACCTCTATGAAAAATCCTGAGAGGGAGAGAAACGTGCTTGCCACAGTCCTGCAGTGCAGCTTTTGAGCAACCTCACATTTTTGTTGGATTTCTTTTCCCTTTCCAAAGGAAATACTGAACTGCAAGGGAGGAGTGTTGGCACTAATAAATGTTCTGTGTTCCCCAGAGTGCATCAGGGGATTTAATGATCAGGAACATCCAGCTGAAGCACAGTGGGAAGTACGTGTGCATGGTGAAGACAGAGGTGGACAGTGTGGCCTCTGCTGCCGACCTCATCGTGCGAGGTACATTCCATCCCAGCCCCAGCATCATGTTTTCCACCTCTTTTTAAATTACAGGCTATAGAAATAACTGATGGTGGAGGTTACAGAACCAATGCATGGTGTGAATGGGGTGATGAATGGCTGTGAGTTGAATTATTTCATTCTGACCTGCAGCTAGGGAGAATTACAGCTCAGGTTTTGGGTGAAGCCTGATTTTTCCCAGAGAAATGAGGAGCTGGAGGTTGTAATAGTGACTTCACATCTTTTTTCACTGCCAGTCCTTCAGGTCACTGCCAAGAGGGAACACGCTGGCAGCTCTGAGGCAGCTGGGGTTGCTGCCTCTGCAGACTGAGCTGCTGGGGACTCCAGAATCCTTCCTTTGAAACGGGCAATTCTGCCAGAGCCCAGGAGAGCCTTTGTCCCAGGCTTTAAAGCCTATAATGCAGGATTATTCATTTTCATTCCAAGCTGGAATGCTCACAGTTGAGCCACAACTGTGGCTTTCTTTGCTGATGCTACAGCTACATTTTTTTGCAAGCTAAAAGCTTGGATCTAGAAAAGCACATGATGTGATCAGCACTTACTCAATATATTTTAAAATATTTCAGATATTTTCTCACTGTTAATGCAGTGTTGCTCACTTTGCTGATGCAGGTGAGACAAAACCCAACATTTTGGCCAGGAAATGCCCAGAATGAGGATTTTCCAGAAGGCAGCAGGAAGTTTGTCTGAATTGCTGCTTGGGGTGCTGGTCAGATGTGCTGAAAAATCGTTCCAGTACCTTGTACAGTAAAGAAGCTGTAGGTAAAACACTTCCAGACTACAGAGATGTGTCTGTAGGTTAAAGAGGGCATTTAGGACTAAAGGAAAAGACATTGGAAAGACAGAGGGATGTACTGAACAAAGGTTCTTGGTAAAAAACCAAAATCCAGTCATCTGTTCTGCCATTGGCAGTATTTCAGCTTGAAATTATCAAAGTTAAGCTTAGTGAATGTAAAACTATAATTATGAGTGTTCTGATTTTGGTCTGCATTGTTCTCCTCCCCCCTGAGGAAGAAAAAAAATGGGAATCCATCCTGCTGGAAGTGATTCCCAGGGGTTCACCAACCTCTGCCTGGTTTCCCATCCCGTTCCAGGCTCTCCTGGGCCCCCCGAGCACGTGAGGGTGGTCGAGGTCACGGACACCACTGCCCAGATCTCCTGGCAGGAGGGCACGGACAACCACAGCCCCGTGACCACCTACAGCATCCAGGCCAGGACTCCCTTCTCCGTGGGCTGGCAGCGAGCCACCACAGGTGGGCACAGTTCCCAGCCCAGGCTCTGTGGGAATGGCTCTGGCATCATCTTCCTGAGCTCCCTTTTCCCTTTCTCTCCCCCAGTTCCGGATGTGATCGACGGGAAAACCTTCACAAGCACAGTAGTGGATTTAAATCCTTGGGTTGAATATGAATTTCGTGTAGTTGCCAGTAACAAAATAGGAGGTGGAGAGCCTAGTTTGCCCTCAGAAAAAGTAAGAACTGAAGAGGCAGGTTAGTGGGTCCTTCTATTTGTTTTTAATTCAAGAATCTTGAATGTTAACAAGGAAAAGGAGTGTTGGTATCTTTGGCTCTTTGCAAACAAGCTTGGAATTGCCATTGGATATAAAAACCTGAAACAAGTTTGTTCATATTTTTCCATTTAGCTGTGGGACAGTTTGTGTTGCATTACTGAACCACAGAAGCATAACATCTAAATCCATTTAAATCCATTTAAATCCATTTACTGTGGCAGAATCTGCCAGTTCAGGCAGTGCTGCAGAGTCTGAAGGTATTAATGGATGGAAAGAGGTTAATTTTGACAGGGATTTTTCATTCCTGGTGTTTGATCAGTGAAAACCTTCCATGTGACAAGCATGTGGCCCAGAAGAACCCATCAGTTATAAGCCCAGTTCACTTGGAATGAGGCTGTTCCCCAATTTATCTACATAACATCCCTGGAAGTGTTCGAGGGTGTGGAATTCAGAGCAACATGGTCCACTGGAAGGTGTCCTGGAACAAAATGATCTTTGGGGTCTGTTCCAACCCAAGCCATTCTCTGAGTTAACTCTGGAAAAATGAAGCTTGTCTCCAGTTTTTGGTAGTTCCTAACCACAGCAGCAGTGGTGTGACCTGCGAGCTGCTGAGGTTCTTCACAACTCAGAGGAGCCCCAGCCTGGCCCAGGAAAGGATCAGTGGGGCTCTCCAGTGCTTCCTACCCCTAAACCACTCCCCCTGATTGCAGAAGGAGTATGAATGTGGGTTAAATTCAGGGCATGAGGGTGATGTGGTGTGTTCTCCTGTCTCTGCCTTGTGCTGACATCTCTGCATTTCCTCCCACAGTTCCCGAAATTCCCCCGTCTGAGGTCAGCGGGGGAGGCGGCAGCAGGTCTGAGCTGGTCATAACGTGGGATGTAAGTGTGCTGGGGAGGAGTTCCCTTCTCAGAACGTCCTTTCTTTCCTTTCTGCTGTCTCTGAATTTCCCTGGCTGCAGCAGCAGCTTCTGCCCTGGGATGTGCACGTGCTCTGGGCCCTGTGTGATCTGAGCCCTGAACACTGGCCTTCGTTCCTGCATGTGTCCCTGGGCTGGGTGGAAATCCCCAGGGAATTCAGTTTGGCTGGGGTTGCTTCTGTTCTCAGACAAATGTTGATGCTGAAAAGGAGGCAGGAGGGCAGGGCAAGAGGGCCAAGCCAAAGAGTTGGGCTTTGCAGTGCAGGTTTGCAATTCTTGCTTTCCCATCATTAAATCTGGATGCACATGCTAACCATTTTCCATTTATATTATGTATCCCTTTCTTTTAATATTCTGTTCCTAGCATTGACTACTCTGTGTGGTTATCTAATCATAATGACATCAGAAGAAGGTTTCATCCACTCTATGAAGGTGGTATTGGATTCTTTAACAGCTGACCAAGCAATTATTTATTTTTTATGAACTGTGGATTGATGGAAGAAAAACTGTATTTACTGAAGAGCATCTTGAAGCAGAATACTTAGTGAAAAACAGAGATTATACCTGAAAGTTGTTCTCTTCTTGAAAGGCAAACCTTAAAGCGGGTTGTAGGGATCACATTTTGCTGTTCTGTACCAGAGTTAATTGGCTGAGGGTTTCATGCTGTGTGCATCCTGTCATCATGTCCCTGAGTTTCCTCCTGCCAGCCTGCCCCGTGGCCTCACGGCTCCGTGTTGTTCTGTCCCAGCCCGTCCCTGAGGAGCTGCAGAACGGGGAGGGGTTCGGGTACGTGGTGGCCTTCCGCCCCTCGGGCACCACGACGTGGATCCAGACCGTGGTGACCTCTCCTGACGCGCCCAGATACGTCTTCAGGAACGAGAGCATCCTGCCCTTCTCGCCCTACGAGGTCAAAGTCGGCGTCTACAACAACAAGGGCGAGGGGCCCTTCAGCGCCGTGGCCACCGTGTTCTCAGCTGAGGAAGGTACAGCCTTGGGCTGCCCCAAAATTCCCCCGGCTCCCTCAGCACCTGGAGAGGCTGCCTGGAGCAGAGAAGGGGCAGAGCTAAAGGAATAAAGTGGAGATTTGTTAAAAAACCTTCACAGGACATACCTTGGGCAGTGCAAGACCTCAGCCAGGGCTACACCCCAGATGGACCCCACGAATTCTCACATTTTTATAAGTTTTAGTCCATTTCCACATTGGGGTTCATTGTCCAATTCCAGCTCCGGGTGATGCAGTCCCACCCTCCCAGTTTTCCCCCCTCCATTCCCTGTTTGCACTTCTTGGGCTGAAGCTACAGCGGTGTCCCTGGTTCTGGGCTGGAAAAGGATTGTTCTGTGTGCCTGAGCTGGTTCTGGGCTGGAAAAGGATTGTTCTGTGTGCCTGAGCTGTTTCAGGGCTGGAAAAGGATTGTTCTGTGTGCCTGAGCTGTGAGCAGAGCTGCTGACACTTTGTGTGGAGTTCAGAGTCACACCAGTACAGTGCAGGACTGGGAAATATGAAAATTCAAAATCAATTCCAGCAGGAATTCAAAATCAGTTCCAGCAGCAGCTCAGGGAAGGGAGGTGGGGTGGGATGAGGACAGGTTTCAGGTTTATTCCTGCTGTCACCTGTCCCGTGTTGATTTCCCAACACAGAGCCCAGCACAGCCCCCTCGGGAGTGTCTGCCACCAGCCTGTCCTCCTCAGCCATCCAGGTGTCCTGGACAGCCATCCCCTGGAAGATGAGCAATGGGAGGCTGCTGGGCTATGAGGTGAGTCTGTGGACATAAAAATATTTCAGTCGATCAACCCTATTCATTAAGTAAAATCCACTCCTCTTTGTAAAGGGCCATGGGGCAGAAGGGTCGTGCAGGCTGCAGCACACCCACACAGATTCACCCCAAATCTTGCTCTTCCTGCCCCACCTACAGCCAGGAGAAGGACAATTTTTTTTCTATCTTTGTTAGAAAAACCCAACTTCGTTCTGTGGGGTTTTGCTTCTTGTGCTGATAGATAGTCACATGTCTGGCATAACTCCAAGCTAACATTTTTTTCAGAATTAGATTTACTTTCAAAGAAACTTCTTTATAAGGTACATTTTTCTGAGCTTGTTTCCTTCTTAATGAAGTAATGGTTTTCCTCTTGTCATTCTTTAGTTCAAGCAAGATCTAATATTTCAATTGCCTTTTTCCTGCAGTCACAACTGAAAAGAGCAGCAAGCGTGAGAAGCAGATGGATAAGAGTTTTTTGGGTTTTTTGCACAGTAAACATATTTCTGAAACTTTAATGTATTTCTACCTTTTTCAGCTGAAGTGAAAAAAAAATGCACTTAAAAAAGTCTAGCACAACACCGTGGGTGAACAGCCCCTTCCATGCAAGTTTTAAATGCTTTGGTTTTCATCTCCTAGGTTAGGTACTGGAATAAAGGCCAAAAAGAAGAATCTTCAAACAGAGTAAAAGCAGCAGGGAATGAGACATCAATAAAAATTACGGGGTTGAGGAGCAACTTGGCTTATTACACAGCTGTGCGTGCCTACAACAGCGCTGGAGCAGGGCCCTTCAGTGCCACTGTCAATGCCACCACCAAAAAGCCACGTGAGTACCCCACTTTGGAGTGGCCAGAGGCATAGATGGAGTGGAAGCACTGTCTAGGTGTCTGCTAAGGAAGGCAGGAGCCTCCCCTAAATGGGGAAAAAAAAATGTAGACACCCTCCCTCTGAATTGTTAAAAATTTGAAATTAAGGGGGGCTCTCAGGCAAAAATATGGGAGCAGGAATAACAGTTCTTTATTAGGGAAGGAAATAAAATATAAAATAAACAATGCAGTGAACCAAAACAACACTGACAGAGTCGGAATACAACCTGACACCCTGTTGGTCAGGGTGTTGGTGGCAGTTTAATTGGGAATTGTGGCTAGAGTCCTCCAGGAGTGTCAGGTGTGGTTTTCTTGGAGCAGTTATCCTGTAGAACAGGGTGCAGGGTGCAGTTTTCCTCTGAAGATGCAGTGGAAGAAGCAGCTGTTCCTTTGGGAAATCCAGTGCAGGAAAAGCCGTGCTGCTGTCCCAAAAACCCAGATTATATCCAGGTAGGAATGCTTGTCTCCTCCCTCTGGGCAGAGCATCCCACAATGGGATGTTACAGTTCTTACCAGTCACCAGTGACATTCAATAGCTCATTATCAGCACGTGTCTGCCCTGAGTTGTGGAAGAGATAAGGAAAAACTGCCTAATTAACACAAGATAACTACCCTACAGATGGCAAATGGAATATATCTTGCCTTTCAAGCATTTAGAGGGTAAAAAAAAGCAGTGGAATTCCTGGGAATCACAGCCTGAGTGACCTAAATTTCCACCAAGCACAGAGCTTCCACATTCCTCTTCAGCAGGGTGGGTAAATCCCAGCCATGCCAGGGGAGGCCAAGGAAGATCTGTAATTTCTGCACTGAGCCTTTGTTATGCTGCTAATGACTGGAAGAAATTGAAAAGAAAAATCTCTGTTATTTAGAAGGAAAAAAAAAAAAAAAAAGAGAGACTTGTTGAATTTTTCAGCGTTCTATAACATATTTATAAGTTCTCTAGGGCATGGGTTTTGAAATGCAATGAACCTCATGGAGTTCATGCAAAACAATCCTTCATGTCCACTGTTTCCCCTTGAACAAATTGCACAAGAGGCCACTCTGCTGCTGCTACTGCAAAATTAAGCTGGAGAACAGCGTGTCAAAGGCTGCACTAATTTTTCTACAAGTGGAAATATTTTTAGTGTGCTCCTCCGTGGTAATACAGCTCGAAATCAGGGTCATCAGTCTCAAAGTGTTTCTGTCAGAGGCACAAGAACATACAATTAAATCTGTCTGAAGGGTCAAATTCCCTGCAATATTCATTAACATCCCCCGAGCAGACAGAGTTGTAGCATTAATATTATGAAATAAGCTAGTTTATCAGAAATTATTCTATGCAAAAATGAGTGTCAGTCTGTCACTGAGGACTAAACCAACTCAGATTTGCCAGAGTTTTAATATATTATATGCACAATTACCATGAACTGGCTGATCTGAAGTGACTCACTGCCTGCAGCCTGGACAGGACATGGGAAAAGCAATTTTTTTCTAATTAATCATCTTTGTGGCTGCTCACTAGAGGTGGTGCCAGGCTGGCCAGCTCAGGGATTTTCAGTCCTTTTTTAGTATGCCCCCTGCTTTTGGGATGTGTGACTGAGAGCTGGACAAGCCCCTGATGCCAGTGGTGTGAGCAGGATCTGGATCAGGCCCTTGGGCAAGATGCTGCTGTTTGGAATAATTAAAAAGGAAAATTAATGGCATTATGTCCATGGATCTTTCTGGTGAGTAAGGAGAGCAAAAGCATGTAATGTCAGTGTGAAGATTTTGATAAATTAGTTGAATTGCTGAGAGAAATAATTCTCCATGCTACTGCAGTAGAAAAAAGTGATTTTTCATTCAAATGTGTAATTTTTAATCAATCCCAGTTTGTGATTTAATTTGAATATTCGTGATCGGTGTGGTTTTCACTGTGAAGGGTTTGCATTCTCCCACAGGACCTGCCAGGTACATCTCAGAAACTCTTTCCCATATCAAACACAAATAGTTCAGTTCTATTGGCGGTGGATTTCAAAATTGAAAGTGAGCCTCTGACAATTAAAATACCTTTGCTTTAAAATTTGAAATATGCATATTTACAGCCCAGAATAACAAGTGGAGGTTTAAATATTGCTATGCAAAATGCCAAGTGGGTGGGGAAGACTTGCCTAAGTTCTAACAATTATTTCATATTTCGAAAGTCTTAAAATAAAACCCAATGTTCTGTCCATCATCTCCTAATTCTGGGAGGAGTTCCTGCCTGGGAGCAGCTTTCAGCTCCTGAGCAGCTCAGAAATCCCTGCAGCTCCTTGGACATGTCCTGATGTGACTTGATGGATCAGGACCTGCCACAAATGAAGTTCTGAGCACTGACGATTGCTGGAGATTTTGGTCTCTGCAGCAAATGGAGCTTCTGAATCCCACAGACAGAGGCTTACAGTTTTTATAGATAATTACTCTTCTTTTTTTTTTTTTTTTTCCACTTGTCATCTTAATATTTTGTTGTGGATTTCAGGGATGACTCATTTCCTTTGAAATTCAGCTGTAATATCTCAGTGTGAAAACGATTCATACATGCTGTAACACTTCATTCTAAGGAGTGAAACAATCTCCTCTTACATTTACAAGAAGTGGTTATTATTAGAACATCAGGTTAAATCTTCCTCAGTACACAGAACACGACAAATAGTGAAAAAAATAGCTGTGGGTGGTTGGTTGACTTTGAAATAATTTTTTTTAAACGGCAAGAAGTTTTTTTCTGTTTTTTGAGTATAATCAGGTGGGTTTTGATCTGAGTGCTTATGGGAAGAAGACAGAGAACTTCCTGTGTGAGAGAATTGAAAAGAGGAGGGGGGGATAAAGGAAAAAACCCATAAGTACATGGATACAAGTGTTCAAAACCACTCTGAGTGTAAAACTGGAACCTACTCTCAAAGCACAGCTCAGTCCATCTAAGCAGCAGTTGCCTCCACTAGGTGACAGCAGCAGTAAATTGTTTTCCTTAACACATTTAGGAAAGATTTTAATCATTGATTTGTGTCACTGCAGGACCCATTTTCTGGGAAACCAACCTGAGGTGTTTGAGGAGGTTTGGCAGCTCCAAGGTGCACGAGGGGGCAGAGCCCAAAGCATGCAGCTGCTTTGCAAATAACAGGCTTGGGTTGCTAATGAACCAAAAATCCCTGCAGATTTCCATGGCCAAAGCCCACTTTTGGCACAGGCTCACTTCAGAACCACAACTCGAGTTGGAAGAGCCAACAGACAAAAAAGACCTGCAAATATTTTCCATAACAAACATCTTAAAGTAAATCAACATAGTGGGTAAATTTGAATAATCACTGAGACTAAATTTGTCTAAAACTCTATTGTGAAGAATTTTCTTAATCTTGGCACTGTACTAAACCTAGAAATTATCTGTTACCATCATTAGAGTTTGTTCTTAATCACCCATTGTTTGTAATAAAATAGTTTGTACAAAATAGTTTGTGATTAATCACCCATGTCCTAAGGCACATGCTTCTGTCTGGCTGTATTGAATGAAGGACCAGCAACAGATATTTCAACTTCAGAAACAACATTTGTGCACCATTCTGGCTTTTTCCTTCCTTGTTTTTCGAATTTAGCCTCTGAACCATAACGTGCACAGAGAGGAGCCTGCACTGGGGTTGGTTTTGCATCCCAAGTGCAGTGGCAGCCAATTACCTGAGAAGCTGAATCAGTCACCAATGGCAATTCAATTAAAGTCCTGCTTTTGTCGTGTGCTTGAAGCCCCCAGCCAACCTCCAGGGAACGTGGTGTGGAACGTCACCGACTCCAGGGTTGTGCTGAGCTGGGAGGAGGTCAGAGCCATGGACAACGAGTCCGAGGTCACGGGGTACAAGGTCAGTGGGGACAGAGCTGGGAACAGCCCAGAGCTGGGATTTCTTGTCTGTCCATTTCTCGAGGTCGGGACTGAAGTAATTTCAGACAGTATTCCATGTTTGGACTCGGGTGTTTCTTACTCCTTGTCTATGTTACAGCCTCACTGCCTTGCGTTTTCATCAGCAAGGCACAGAATGGCTAACTAACTCTTGTTACAGGGTCTTCTAAAACTAAAATATCCAGTTAAGAAAGAACACCTAGATTACTTTCCCTTTTAACCCAATAATTAATCCCTCGAAGCCTGCACTGTGGACTTTTCTGTCCAATCACAAAACATCACCCAAACCCATGGAGAAGAAGGAAGAAGAAGGAAGAAGAAGGTGAAGAAGAACAACCTGCCTCCACCCTAAAACCTTCATCTTGCTTCATATTTATTTCTAGATTCTAAAATCCCAAACTCTTAAGTTTTCCACCCTGTGATGTTACAGACTTTTAACCAACTCCACACCCATAATCCCAGTGCTATTAATCAATTTTAAAAGCCTGTTCCATGACCTCAGGTCAAATGTAGTGTTCTCTTGTAGGTCTGTGTTTTTAAGCACGGAAAGTTTCAAATTCTCAGCATCTAGAATTCCAGCACTTGTCTGTTTGCATGCACAATCCCACCCCTAAAGCATTTCACTGGGGTCTCCTTTTTAGGGATTTTAAATGGTATTCTGACAGTGTCTCACCATTAATGTCCCCTAATCCCTTTTCCTGCCCGTGCTGGCATTGCTCAGCTCGTGGGATGCCACCCACACCTGGATCTGAGAACATTTAAACAATTACCAATCCATAACTCTTAATTTAAATGTGTAATGGATAAAACTTTGAAAGAAATAAATAACATACAGCCTGATGGATGCAGCTTCCATTGCTGGCCAGGTGTATTTATTACATTTATTATATATTATCACATATATTAAACTGATACTATTAAACCTTTCTTCTCTTACCTGCTGTGGGCCATGTTCATTTCTCTGATAGAAATTACCCAGTTACACCTGCTCTAAATCTGATCAGCACACAAATGTAGAAGTGCTTTAAAATGTCATGCAAAGTGTGTGCAAAAGAGCAGCTGAGGATGCTCCTGCTAAGCTCTGTACAGCTGAATCCGCATGATATATTCCTGAATAAAAGATTTAGGCTGAAGATCTCATCACTCACCGAGTTTTATTGGCAAGAAGTACATGTTTACAGCTTGTTCCAGTGTCCCACCACCCATTATTTCATCTTGTAAAAAAAATAGTACATAATATGTATTGGCATCCGTTGTGCCATTTTAAATCATATCTGGAATAAAAGGTGAAAAAGGTTTTAAAATGAATGAGAAATTAATTCTTTTTTTTCTTTTTAACAAAAAAACATTCAAAAAAATGGTTTTGAACATCTCAAAATGTTCAAATCTTTGAACATTTTTGAATCAGTGTTCAAAAGAGAACACTTGATTGATGTTCCCTTCTTCCCTTAAATACAATTCCGCCCTGGAATATTAACCAAAAATCAGATCTTTCCTTTCATCCCATCGCTTCCAAAAGCTGAAAGCTTGTTTGCTGGGGGCAGGGCAGGGGCTGAGGGTGTGCTGTGTTGCAGGTTCTGTACAGGACCAGCAGCCAGAGCCGGGTGGAGGAGCTGACCACGGCCACGACCACGGCCGAGCTGTGGCTGCAGCTCAAGGACGATTATTTCATCGAGGTCAGGGCCACCACGGAGGGGGGAGATGGCAGCAGCAGCGAGCAGATCCTCATCCCCAGACTAGCCAGTAGGTTGAACCACTTCATTTTGTCCCAGCTTGTCTTTGCTTCCTTTGTTGATGGGGGGAAAATTCTTAAAATTAACGCTTAGACGTTTTTGTGGTAATAAGGTAATAAAAAGGAAAGCATTTAAAGTCTTCCTGCCCTTATGCATGGCAAACTCCATTCTGCTGAACTGGTAAATTGCCATGGAGATTGGTATTAAAAATGTTACTTTTTTTACTCTTTATCCTTTTTTTAAACAAATTAAAAACAATTACCTTGAAAGTGGATGCACAGAATCATTAAGGTTGGAAAAGACCTCCAAGATCATCGAGTCCAACATTTGACCAAACACCACCAGAGAACTAAAACCATTCATGATCACAGCATCTCTGAATTTTTTAAATATTTACTCTTATTTTTATACATCTCTACTACTTCTAAGAAAAAATTTACAGTAATTTTTGCTTAGCATCTAGGAAGAGTAATAATGTGGCACAGCACGTACTTATGCTTTCATTTAATCCTGAATTCATTTTTACCTTTGTCACAGGTATGGATGCAAGAGGTTCTGGCCCATCTGTCTTGAGTATCTTCAGTGTCTCCAGCTTCTTAGCAACAATATTTTCCTTGACCCTTAATTCTGTGTTGTGCTGATATATTTGCATTTGCTGGGGAAAAAAAAAAATTGGTTACTAAAGTGCATTTTTTTAAAAACACTGCAGTGGTTAATGCATGTTTTTTCTTCTATCCTGGCGTGTTTTTAAATTCTTTATATTTCACTGTAAGTTGAAGTAAAAATACCATGTAAAGTTTAGCAAATCCTTTAGAAAGGAATCTAAAATGCCTTAATACTTGAACCAAAGGAGTTTACATGTTACATACTTCAGATACAGTCTGAGATAGACGGGGAGGGATGGCACTGTGAGGTCAGGGCTGTGAGGGAGAGTGAGAAACCCCATTTTTGCAGCAGCCCTGAATTGTTCTGGGTCTGTCCTGCATTGCTAAAATAGCATTTGACGTGGAAGGGGTGAAATCAGAGCTGTGGCTGTTACCAGCTGGAGGGTAACACGACCACCCCGTGGCTGCTCCCAAGGCAGTGCCATCACCCAGCAGTTCGGATCATTTTCCTGCTGCCCTTTGTGGGAGTTGCTCTAAATGGAAAAAAAAAATAAAATCCCAAGAGAAATCTCCAAAGAAATCCCATCTGGAGCAGGGCAAAGGCAGGGCCTCCACTGCTGCTCCTGAGGAATTATCTCCCAGCTGTGATTGAGGATGTTCTTGTGCACCTCTCAAATACCCAGCAAATTCTGAAATCCATGTGCTCATCCCACCTCACCTTTCCCTAACCAGGTGCTTCCTTCAAAACCAGATTCTCCCACCTGGAGGGTGATTTCTTGTCCTCCTGCCCAGCTGGCAGCCCTGGTGAGCTGCAGGGGCACCACGGCCTTAGGAAGAGGGACAGCCACCCCCTCCCTCCCTCCCAGAGCTGCATCCCCAAATCCTCCTGCTCCTCTCCCTGCCCCCTGCACTGCAAACACCCTGAATTCAGACCTGCAGGCAGACCTCTCCCTCCTGCTGCCCTGGAGCCAGTTCTGCTCTGTCCCACCTGCTGTCACATCAGTCTGGGAAGTTCATAGGATATTAAAAAAAATGGTACAACAACACTTCAGGCTTGCTGTTGAAGAGAAATCTGTGCTTTCTTTCATGGCAGTAAATTAAAGATAAATTAATCCTGCTCCATTTGACTTTTAAGAGTTGTGGCTTCAGTCACATCAGCCTTTTAGACACCTTTTAGAGAGGTCACAGCATCCCTGTTCAGCACATGTTCACATGACATAAAGCATCTCCTCTCAAAGACTGGGGTTTTTTTTTCATTTCACAATACTATTACAATACACACAGCTACAAAGGGAGAACCAGGATCCATAAAATTATGGTAGCACAGTAGAAAAAAATACCTTGATATGCATTCAGCTGGCAGATGAGACAAAGAGCTGCTGAGGAAAGCAGGAGCTGTATATACTGTACATAGAGAGCATAAAAGAGTTAAAAATTAGTTGCTTTTCCATGTGGCTGACCAGTGTTGTTTTCAGACACTTGCAAACAGGGGGGTGGGTGGGACATGGAAATCCAGGTGTTCCTAGTGAGTAAATAGTTATATTTCATGCAACAAAGGGTGACTCTTGCTCTTGTTTCACAAAATTCTAGTCCGGGTTCCTGTACTGCCCATTTTTCATGCGCTTACATTGTATTATTACTTGATTTCTAGTTCTATATCTCCATGAGATATGTACCCAGTACCTTGTTTCATATTGAAAAGGTTGAAATTTATCCTTGAACTTCCAGTTGTGTGTGTATCCTATGGTTATCTGTATGCATTCTTTTCTATTGCTGTAATAAAATATTTATTACATTGAGGGATAATAGAAAATCTCAAAGTGTTATTGCTTGTTTCTATTACATGTTTGCACACGTTGGGGGTTTAATACATCTAAAAATGGTTGTGCTCAAGCTTCTGAGTGCCTCCTCTGCCTGGGTTTGCATCAGGATGGGCAAAAATCCACCTCCATTTCCCATCTATCCAA